AGGCCTGCGTGTTTGCTTCTGGGGTGGGTTCGTTCAGCTGAACACAGTTCCTGAAGGAACAAAGATCAAGTTCCTGGTAAGACTGGGTCACAGAAGGGTTGTCTGTTTACAGGAGGACTGTAAACCAGGTCGGTGCTCTGTGGGGGATCCCAGTGCCCGTAAACCATGCCAGCCCATGGCTGTCACTGTCCTGTCTCCAGGGAAAAGCTTACAGCTTCCCATGCTGCTGCCAGGTGGCTGGCACCATGTCCCCCTTTTTCCTCCAAGCACCACGGGAATATTTGCTCCTCTTTTTAGCCGTGAAATAGCCAAAATGCCTTTGTGTCCCCTAGACAGTGCCCTTTGGCTGGCTGCAGCCGAAGGAGAGTGCTTGTCTCTGCTCTGTTGTGGTGTGAGGAGGGCACTTGTCTGAGCTCCAGGTCCTCGTGGTGCTCAGCAGCCTCCAACTCCTCCGTGGGAGCAAACGCAGTCCTGGCAGGGGCTGAGGCAGCGCTGTGCTTTCAGAGCTCCCTAAGCCATTGCTGGTTAAGGCTAAGCCTGAGCACTGGCCTGCACACAGCATTTCATTTCCCAGCAAAGCAATTTAAAGCTTCATTCCTGGGAAAAGAGATATTTTTTATTTTCTTTCTTGGTAGCAGGAAACCATCTTGCTGCCCCATCAGTTTCTGGCCACATACTGAAGCACCTTGGCTGCTCGTGTCCTTAGAACCAGTGGTTTTGCAAAACATTAACTAAAGCCCACCAAAACAGGTCGGTAGCCTTCATCAGTCTGTGTTTGCAGTTGAAGTGAGTGACCTCAGCCCGGTGGCACAAAGATGACCCCAGGGGACAGGTCCTGCACCCCTTGGTGTGCAGCTGGCCCTGGGTTAACTCTTGCCTTCCCCAGCTGGTGACAGAGCCCAGCCCGTCCCGGGATCAGCGTGCCAGGAAAGTGGACCTGCTCGCCTTGACCTGCTGGTCAGTGCCTCCATCCCAAGCACAGCCCTGCACCAGCAGTCCTGCGTCTGCCCACAGCTTCCCAGGCTGAGGTAATGCCCAGCTGGATCCATTCCCTGATCCAGCCCCCTGGAGACCACATCAGCACAGTGGGGTGGCTGCGCTGTCAGACACCCCTCTCTGTGGGAGCCTGTGCTTGGTTCAGCTTGAAATGTCTGTGAAACCAGCCCTGGGTGATTTCTGCTGCTGCGTGGGGCACACGGGTCCTTCCAGCCCAGGGGCCAAGGGAAAACCATCCCCACTAGCAGCTGTTTGAAAGTTTCATAAATCTCTCCTGCTGCAAGATAAACCTGAGGCTCTTTGCCCTTTCCCTGGTGATAAGGAGGGGGATTATTCTTTGCACTCTGCAGGGAGAGACTTTTCACACTTCCACTTATCCCTCGTAGGGTAAATAGACACAGCATGGCTGCTCTCACCTTGGGGACTCTCCTGTCACTTCTGCTGCCTCCATCTGCCTCCACCAGGAAGGGACCTGCCTCTTGGCAAACTCACCCTTGGTGACAAACAGAGGATATAAGTCCAATTTTGCAGGTTCCCGTGCTGCCCTTCAGAGGCCACCATGGATGTTTGTTTGGTTTTGTCCCCTCCACAGCCGCCTCCCAGGACGAGTGCGCTGCGCTTGGGGTGAATGTCTGTCTGTGCCCCATCACCTCCCAGCCTCCTCTCCACCTTCCCCGTGGCACGTTCAGCCCTGGCAGCATGTCACTTGCTCATCTTGGTGCTGCCATGCAGCATGGGCAGGGCAACACCCTCCTGAAGTGCCCTTCAGAGAGTTTTGTGCTGCAAGGGAGGCAGAGCTGCCCACCAGTCCAGGCTCAGCCATGTGCACTGGGTGCTGGCACCCAGCAGGTTCCGCCTTGCAGCTTGACCAGAGGCCCTGGGAAGGGTATGGGATGCACTAACATACTCCGATGGGTGTCAGGGGAGAGCGGTGCCTGCAGCAGCCTGCCCTCCCCACTGAGCAAGCCCGGGGGCTGGGACATGGGCCTGCAGCCCTGCCAGGCTCTTTCAATGAGCCCCATTGCTCATGTGCACCTTCACCAGTGTACAAGGAAAGGCTCTTTTCCTCATGAGCAAAAGGGACCAGATCAACCTGGTTCCCTGAGTAGAACAGAAACCCTCTGCTCCCTTCCAGCATGGGCAGCAGCACCTTCCTCCCAAGTTCAGGAGAAGGCTTCCCAAGCCCCTGGCACCAGATGGGTAACCCTTGCCCCAGCTGGCCCAGGAGCCCATTAAAGCCCTTTAAGTGGGAATCAGGGCCGATTCCCTGCACCCACATATGGCTTCTGAGCAGCACAGCCCCAGCCCATATGCTGTTACAGGCATCAGCTCAGCAGGTGCTGAGCGCACAGCTGCCACTCTGCTTTTTCCATGTTCTGGCTTTGATTTCACAGGGCTGGTGCTGCCCGTACACCAGCCCCGACAAGACTCACCTGGCCAGTGCCAAGGACACAGCAGCACCAGAACTCCAGCTCTGCAGGGAGGTGCTTCCCAGACGCTCGAGTGCATTTGCTTCATCCTCAAGGTTCGTGTGGATTGAGCCATGGCACAGCTGCTGGGGACCAGCTGTAGGTGCGGGCAGCGTCTCCCCGTGCAGTTCTGGCCAGGCGGGCTTCCCATGCCAGGGAGGCTTTCTTCATGCTTGGAGTGAAAGCTCTCTGTAATCACCACTGAAGCAAGACTTCAAGGCTGGAGTTCTGCCCAGGGCTCAGTGCTATCAACTCCCATGGCCATTTTCTCCCTCCCTTCTATTTTGTTAAAAGCCCCAAAGAGAAGAGGTGTGCCCAGCTGGGAACGCCTGGCCCCAGCTTAAGCTCAGTATGCTTTTAGTCTCTTGAGCTGGCTGCAAAAAACCTGAACAGAGACTCCTCGTGAACCCCGCAGAGCCAAAAAAGAGGAGGCAAAGAATAAGATGTCCCTGATTTCTGTTGAAACACATTGAAAAAGAAAAGCTAGCAGCAATTTTTCAAATCCTGAGACAGCAGTGCTGCCCACACCCCTCGGAGGCAGCCAGGTCATGGCAATGGGCAGACTGACTCCTCGCAAACCCGGCCAGGAGCAGGGCAGGGGTCAGTACATTTGCAACAATCTTGAGCTCTGTGCTTGGCTGGAGCGCTGCCCTCCTCCTCCTCCTCCTCCTCACAGACGGTGCACATGGCACCTACCTGCCCTGCCACAGGGGCTTTGGAGAGCACTGGCTTTGTCCCCCTTGTTCTGTCCTGCCCTTGTTCCTTTGCTGCAAGCTCCATCCCTGGGGAGTGGGGGGCACCCAGGACGAGGCCAACACTGCCTCTTGCCCTCTGCTCAGCACAAAGCCACCTCCCAGCCTCCTTCCATCATCTCTTCTGCACCTTTCCATGACCCACACCACCGTAGCACAGTGGGGCCCAGTTAAGCATTCCCAGGCTGAGGTCTAATCCCTCTGGCTATTTTTAACCCCCCATCCTCATTGCAGCCCTTTGTACCCAAACATGGAACAAAGGATGATCCCTCCTTCCCCCGAGCCCGCCCTGTGCAGAGGGGCTGCTCTCGACTCAGCCACTGACCCCACAAATTTCTCGCTGTGACAAATGTGCTTAACAAAAGGCAAGAGCCCTGTCCCCCAGCCCAGCGGCCACGGGGACAGAGCAGCAGAGCCAGAACAGTCCCTTCACACTGGGCATTTGCACCCAGCTGCATGGGTGGCTACCCCATCCCTGGAAGTGTTCAAGGCCAGGCTGGATGAGGCTTTGGGCAACCTGGTGTAGCAGAAGGTGTCCCTGCCCGTGGCAGGGGGGTTGGAACCGGATGATCTTTAAGGTCCCTTCCAACCCAAACCATTCCATGATTCTATGATCCCTGGTGTATCTTCCCTGCACCCTGTACCTGCTCCAGCCTGCTTTTCCCTCCTGCATTACATTTGCTGCCACAGGAGTGCAGTGCTCCGCTCCTGCCGCGCACGGAGGGCAGGGCTCTCCCCATTTCTGCTACAGAGACGGGAATGTGAGAGCAAGGTATAAATATCTGCAAAGATTAGTGCTCGCCCAGCACTCTGCCCTGGGAGAAGGCGTTGAGTGTCACCCACAGCCCGCATTCCCTTTCTCTCCACTCCCCAGCTGCCTCTCCTGTTTCCAGCCCCGGGTTCGCAATCTCCGCAGCCAGCACTTTCATTTCATTCCTCCCTCCACCCCCGTTCCCTCTTGAAAGGGAGGAAATAATAGAGCCTTTGTTGGGCTGCTGCGGTGCAGGCACCGAGCAAGGAGCCACACGGGGGGAAGGGGCTGCCGGGT